TCACTGTGTCTTAATTCCTTCTATATCAGAAAGAAAAAGATGCCATGTTTTGTGCCATTATAACTCTTTTGCAGTTGACTACGAGAAAGTAGCTCTGCTGAAACATGTATGCTTATAGGATTTGTTTTAGTGAAACTAATGTCTCGATGGATAATTTGATTTGTCCAGTCAACTAATTTGGGGAATGCTAACAGAATTAATGAAATTGATTGACATTAATTGGTTTGTAGAAATTTATATTGGGGAAAAAAGGTATTGAGTCTTTCTTTCATACATGCCTGGTGGGAAAGACGTGGCAGTGACTGCAAATTGTCAACAATTTTATGTTCGTGCACTATATGAATATTTTCAGGGAAGTAAAATAAGTATGGCTCATAATAAGACAGATTTATCTATATTCCTTGGAAGTTGGAAAAATATCATAGTACTTCCATAACAGTGTGTGCGTAGATTTTACCAACTAATACCATGCATTTATACACGACAGTGTTAATAGTGAACATGGTCTTGATATTCTTGAAAGCAAAAGTTTGTAATAAATGTATTATAGGCGAAAGGAAAAATGAAAGATGTCTTCCTTGCTGGTTCTTTTTGATCCTGTGAACGAGCATGACTGTACGCATGCTGTGTATTCCAGACAATAGCTATTATATTACATTTTATTTGCAAGGCCTCTCAGGTAGTTTTTTTGATATGTAATTTAAGCCAGAGAAGGGTTATATTGTTTTTGTTGCAAAGGAGGCCTTGAAAACTCAGAAGGATTATATTTTGATGTCTGTTTGTTAAATTCGGATATACCCTGAATAAATTGTAACGCATTATATTTGTCGACAGCAAATATACAATGGGCAAAATGTTTGCAAATCGGTTGATGGAGTGTGCAAATGACGAATCATTATTTCGGTTTGTGATTAGAGATCTAACAACCAAATCCCCCGTTCTACAAATCATTCTTTTAAATCCAGATACTTGGTCTTGTTCTGGTAATTGTTCTGATACAGAAGACAAAGACCCAGTTCATAAACTGAAGTTACAGCCCATCATCAAAGTGCTTTATTCTGACTTCCACAACGCAACAGAATCTCAATCAAGGTCAGTTATGAAATTGTATATTTTATCATGATAATCCATTAACTTGAAATATATAATATGTAAAGAGTTTTCTTCCATTTTTCTTTTTTGGTTTGAACTTTAGAATTAGGTTTGCTTTTGTTTTTCTTGATATTGTCCATGTTTGATAACGAGATGCTTTGACTCATTTCTGCCCCTTATTTTGAAATAAGCTAGAATAAGGAGACAATAATTAAAAAAAAAATATTGTTTTGATTAGAAACAGATTGAAATAATGATTTGTTTTCCCATTAACTTTGAATAATATATGGGTTCATCCTCAATATATCTATCGGTGAATTGCTTCCATAAAATTTGAACAATTCATGCAGGATTATAGAGGAATGGGCAACAAAGAATTCGGCTGAAAGCATTTTCATGTCGACTCGTCAGACACAAGAATTGGTGGGATTGTTCATCTCAGCAAAAGATTTATATCCACCTTCATGTACTTCTTTCCAAGGTTTAATTTTGTCGTCTTTGCAATGGTAGTAATATATTCATTACCTAATTTTGCAACCAAAGTTAAATAGGGCTGAGCCCTTAAATGCTTACTTAAAAGTTTTATTTTGTATGAAGGAAAACTCCATTTTATAGCTAGAATTTACTTGACAGAATAGTATCCACAATGATATTAATCTTGACATTTTTGGGTAGATAAATGGCTTCAATGAGAATTTTTTTTATCCATAAGTTGTAGGTTAAATTCTGTTAAAATGATTTTGGCTGCGTATCACGATATTACTAGTATTGATGCGCCCCGAACCAGTTTTAGACAGCATTGGAGCTGTTAAACAACTCAAACAAATGAAGCCAAGAGACCTCTGTATTATTGTAGTCTTCATAATTTGTATTAAATTATTTTGAAGCCTAATTAACGCATCTCTGTCAATAATTCTAATAATGACCAATTTTAAAAATATTTAAGTGTATGAACTATTTTCATAATTATAACTATGGATACGGATTTAGTAACAACTTTTGTATTTCTTAAGATAAAAGGTACTGAAAACTGATTTCATATTTTTTCTTTTAGTTTTTATTAACAATTAAAATTATCTTTTCAATATTTCCGAAGTGATCGTAAATTTGTTTTTAATAAATATAAAATCGGCCTAAAACTGATTTTAGGGTAAATGAGGTTTTAATAATAAGTTGTTCTTCTAAAATACTACCAGCACTTTACACGACGCTTAAGTAAGGGTTAAAAGTGTACTTAGCCCAAACTTTGACAAAAAGGTTTTAATTGTTGTTCCCAAAGCCTTCAGTGTGTAGGCGTTTTTCCAAATTATACTGGTACACAGTTTCCAAATCTAGAGCAGATTAAGGCGTGAAGGCTTAGGACCTTGTTTACATCGTGACGGTAAGCAACTCTTCAACCTTTACATGAGCTAAAACTTAGGCGTAAAAACTTAGGAACTCGATCACATCGTCACAAGATAATAAGTATAATAAAAATGAAATACAAAACCCCTTTTTTATAATTTACTTATATTTCTACATGCATAACAAAGCTGGAACGGTTTTAATCAGTTTGTTGTCCGTCAACATCAATGAATGGAATGTTTGAAGGGCTACAATGGCATCTTTTACAAGGAGGAATGTTTATGTATTTTAGTGCACTGTTTTTCTTTCGTTTTTATCTCCTCCCCTTTCAGACATTATTTATAACTTGATAATAAAAAAAAAATTATTGTTATTATAATTATAAAAGCAAATATAAATAATTATTTTGATTTAAAAAATAGTTAAATTTCAAAATGATTAAATGAAAAATATCAATTTTTAAAAAGATCACTTAAAAAAAAATTGATAAAATAATTATTTTAATTAGAAAAAACAGTCATTTAAAGAGTAGATATAAAAAGTAAATATGTATAACAAAATAGAAAATCTTCTTAGTATAAAATTATATATATATATATATAGGGTTTGCTAACGCGTACGCCTGTTCTTTAGTTGGTACATTTTAGTTGGTACATTTTAGCAATGTGTATTTTAATAATTTTCATTCTCAAAAAAATGATTTTATAATGAATTTTCATCTTATAATTTTTGTTTTATCTAATTTTATCCCATTTTCAGAAGCATAAAGGAATTGGTAATTGACCTGTAAAAAATCAGAAATACTTGCTGTTAAACAATCTCTTATAAAAAAATGATTTTATAATGAGTTTTTATTTCATAATTTTTGTCTTATCTAATTTTCAGAAGCATAATAACATCAAAGGAATTGGTAATTGGCCTGGAAAAAAATCAGAAACACTTAGTTGTTAAACAATTTCTTACAAAAAAATGACTTTATAATGAGTTTTCATTTTATAATTTTTGTCTTATATAATTTTATCTAATTTTCACAAGCATAATGACATCCGGAAGAATTGGTAATTGGCCTGAAGGGTTTTTTTAGAGATGATGATTCAACATATGCGCAGATGATTAGAGAGGTTAGTAAATATGGTGAAATTGAAGAGATCTTGAATGAATCTTTGCCTGATGGTGAATATGTCAATGACTCAAGTCTTTACAAAGGCAAATTTTTTAAAGGCAAAGTGTTTCTGATTTTTTCACTTGGGACTACAATAGGATGACAGAGAAAAGGTTGGAGTGAGAGATAAAAGAGAAAGGATCGAGAGGAATGAGAGAGGTGAGTAATGGTTTAAGATTTTTTTTTATTATTATTAAAATACCCTTAACCTTAAAACTTTAAAATCTATATATATACTGTC